TAAATAAATTAACAAAGAAAAAACAAAAAAAAGCAAACACAATAAAAAGAAAAAGAAAATAGAACTTTATTGTTTTTAATTAGTTTTTATCATTCAAAATATTACAATCCAAAACAAATAAACTGTTTTTACCGAAGGTTAAGTGTCAAATTTGAGAGATTAATGCAATTTGCTAAACCAGAACCTAAGCCTGATGCACCTTTGTCACCAATTTTATTACCACTTTTTAAATATTGAAGAAAAAATATATCATAAAATAGTTAATTAGAAGGAAAAAATGAAGAAAAAATATGAAATAATAAGATTAATTCATTAATAATAAAAGTAAAAAATTTGAAAATCAAAGGATGAGCTAAGTAAATTAACAAAGAAAGAACAAAAAAAAACAAGCAGAATAAAAAAAGAAAGAAAAAAGAGCTTTATTGTTTTTAATTAGTTTTTATCATTCAAAATATTACAATCCAAAACAAATAAACTGTTTTTACTGAAGGTTAAGTGTCAAATTTGAGAGATTAATGCAATTTGCTAAACCAGAACCTAAGCCTGATGCACCTTTGTCACCAATTTAATTGTAACTTTTTAAATATTGAAGAAAAAATATATCATAAAATAGTTAATTAGAAGGAAAAAATGAAGAAAAAATATGAAATAAGAAGATTAATTCATTAAAAATAAAAGTAAAAATTTGAAAATCAAAGGATGAGCTAAGTAAATTAACAAAGAAAGAACAAAAAAAGCAAGCACAATAAAAAAAAAAGAAAAAAGAGCTTTATTGTTTTTAATTAGTTTTTATCATTCAAAATATTACAATCCAAAACAAATAAACTGTTTTTACCGAAGGTTAAGTGTCAAATTTGAGAGATTAATGCAATTTGCTAAACCTGAACCTAAGCCTGATGCACCTTTGTCACCAATTTTATTACTACTATTTAAATATTGAAGAAAAAATATATCATAAAATAGTTAATTAGAAGGAAAAAATGAAGAAAAAATATGAAAGTAATAAGATTAATTCATTAATAATAAAAGTAAAAAATTTGAAAATAAAAAGATGAGCTAAATAAATTAACAAAGAAAAAACAAAAAAAAGCAAACACAATAAAAAGAAAAAGAAAATAGAGCTTTATTGTTTTTAATTAGTTTTTATCATTCAAAATATTACAATCCAAAACAAATAAACTGTTTTTACCGAAGGTTAAGTGTCAAATTTGAGAGATTAATGCAATTTGCTAAACCAGAACCTAAGCCTGATGCACCTTCGTCACCAATTTTATTACAACTTTTTAAATATTGAAGAAAAAATATATCATAAAATAGTTAATTAGAAGGAAAAAATGAAGAAAAAATATGAAATAATAAGATTAATTCATTAATAATAAAAGTAAAAAATTTGAAAATCAAAGGATGAGCTAAGTAAATTAACAAAGAAAGAACAAAAAAAAGCAAGCACAATAAAAAGAAAAAGAAAAAAGAGCTTTATTGTTTTTAATTAGTTTTTATCATTCAAAATATCACAATCCAAAACAAATAAACTGTTTTTACCGAAGGTTAAGTGTCAAATTTGAGAGATTAATGCAATTTGCTAAACCAGAACCTAAGCCTGATGCACCTTCGTCACCAATTTAATTCTCACTTTTTAAATATTGAAGAAAAAATATATCATAAAATAGTTAATTAGAAGGAAAAAATGAAGAAAAAATATGAAATAATAAGATTAATTCATTAATAATAAAAGTAAAAAATTTGAAAATCAAAGGATGAGCTAAGTAAATTAACAAAGAAAGAACAAAAAAAAGCAAGCACAATAAAAAGAAAAAGAAAAAAGAGCTTTATTGTTTTTAATTAGTTTTTATCATTCAAAATATCACAATCCAAAACAAATAAACTGTTTTTATAGAAGGTAAAGAGTCTAATTTGAGAGATTAATGCAATTTGCTAAATAAAATTTTTCAAAAATTTTTTTTTTTTAAATGGTATGTTATAAGAATATAGGTATTTATAAAATATTTGAAATTTTGCATTTCGTGAATTTAAAGTATTCTAAAAACTCAAAAATAAAGCTGTTTTAAGCTAATTTAGCTTTATTTATTATGTTTTTAAAATATATTACATTTTACCTTTTATAAATTAAATAGGCATTTCACTCTCGTTAATTAGAAGGAAAAAATGAAGAAAAAATATGAAATAATAAGATTTATTAATAATTAATAAAATTATCAATGAATGAGAAAAAAAGAAAACATAATAAATAGAAAAGAAATCAAATAAACTAAAAGAGCTTTAATGTTTTAAATTAATTTTTATAATTAAAAATATTACAATCCAAAACTAATAAACTGCTTTTTTAAGTGTAAGTTTTAATAGCAAAAAATGAAGAAAAAATATCAAAATAAAAAATGAATAACAAATAATAATTGAAATGAAAATTAAGTTAAAAAAGCTAAAAAATTTTTATTTTAATAAAAATCAATGAATATAGATAATAATTTCTATAATAAAAATTATTTAAAAAAATAAATTTAAATTTAATTATATAAAAAATATTAATAATAATCAAAATAATATTATTTAATTAAATATACCTTAGATCAATATGGAGAACCTAATGAGATAAAAGTTAAGAGCTTATGAACTTTTTTTATTAATTTATATAAATTTAAAGGATATTAATTAAAAAATTAATAATTACTTATTTTAATTCGAGGTAATGTTTAATCTATTATATCATTTATTTTTTTTTCAAAAATATTGTAAAGAAATTTATGAAAACTAATTAATTAATTATAAAAGGATAAAAAGAACAAATAAATATAATAATTAATTAATTATCAATTATTAATTTATATATTTTGTTTTATGAACAGATATCACATAAAATTATTTAACATTCATTATTTAAACTTAATATTTGTATTTAAAAAATATACTTAGAAATATAAATAGTAGGAATTAGAGATGGACAGTTATTTATTTAGTCATATTTGAAAAACTAAATTTAGCTAATATTGTGATTTGCCTATAGCCCTGAAAAAAGGCAGTGCCATAGGGTACTATATATATATAATGTAATAAATAGTAATTAATAAATTTTGCTTTTCTTTCAATTAAATTTGTAATTTAGTTTGTTAATTATCAAATATTTCAAATTTCATCAAAAATTTGCTATTAGTTATCTAAAGAAATCAATATCATCAAAGACTAAATTTTAATAAAATAAAACAAAGATGGAATTACTTCTACTTTTCCAAAAAAATAAATTTGTAATAAAATAATTATAATAATTTATGAACTATCTTCTAAAAGTTAGGATATTAAATAATCTTTGTCATAATATTTTTATTTAATGAAGAAAATTTCATATTTTTGCTTCATAAATATTATATTTTATTTAATGTATAGATTTAACAAAAATGAATGTTTTATGCAGGAAATAGGTTTTTAACCATTTAATTTTATAAATATTTTGATTAAAATAAAAATTATTGTATTTATCATTAGATTTAGCAAATTTTGACATTGTTAATTTCACCTTTTATAGGTTTTGATATCATTTTCTTTTAAAACAATTATCTACAGATATAATTCAAATTCAAGAATGATGAACTTTAAAATTTTCTTTATAATATATTAATGATAAAAGCGTATGGCAACATGCTAAACTACTGAAAAAAATCGTATTTTTATACTTTGATTATGTTATTATATGCTTTAGATGAAATCTTAGGCTACATTTTTAATTTTAAATCTATCACTCAAGTGGAAATTAGATGTTATTAACTCATAAACATAAAAGAAGCAATTAGATCTATTTTTATAAAAACTAAATTTAATTAATAATATTTTTCTGAAAACCATAAATATCAAATAGCGAATTTTTTATATAAAGGAAAACTCTTTCTTGATAAGAATTTCTTTAAGACTGTACTTATACAGGATCTTTCTTATAGTAATTACTTACTGTAAGTTTCTTCATTTGAAGACAACAACTCAATCTAGGATGATTAAAAGGACACTCTCATCCGTAAATGGGATACAGAAACCATTAGTATTTTATTCTCTTCGGAGAATAGGTATTTTTGCGTTTCACGATGATCATCCATCGCTGTGTTTGACCGATCGTCTATACGAAAAGTCACCAGTGGTTGGAGGGTGTGAGTGCTTCTGACTAGATTCAAAAAACTCCCTTAATTAATCAAACAAAAAAAATCTTTTCTTCTTAATATAAACACAAATTATTCTATTAAAAATAACTACTTAAAAGCATATTTTAATTTGAAAATTTTCATAAATAATAATATCAGTAAAGAAATAAAATTATATTTTTGAAATTCAATCAAATTTTAAATTAAAAACATTTTATAATCAATCTCAAGCAAATTCCAATTTTATTTGTTAATGAAAATCAATAATAAGTTTTTTATATTTCAAGATAAAATTAATAATATTTTACTTGATGAAACAATAAATACCTTAATATAATACTTGATGATGAATTAATTAAAAAAAAAATTTTATATTACTTTTAACTAAGTTGTTACTAAAATATAATCTAATCTATTTTTTCATTATATTTTATGTAGAGTTGTATTATTTATTTTTGTAAAATTGATATATTTAATATTGAAGTATTTATTTCTTTTGCAAAATTTTTGTAAAAAGCAAATATTTGACTTGACCAGTTAAAATTAAATTGAAGTATTTATTTACTTCTCACTTAAAATAAACTTTAAAAATATTATAAATAAAACACTATTCTAAAAGTTAGATTATGATAAAAACTCATTAATACCAAATAAATCTAAAAAATTTATTTTTAATTACTTGAATTTTTTAGAAATTAGGAATTAAACATTTTAAAAAATTGCAAATAAAATTCTCTTGAAAAGTTAAAATTAATTTAATTCAATTAAAAATTTTGTAAATAAAGAGTAGATATTTTATATATTGAATATTAAACAATTCTTTCTGGAACTAACTAAATATACAACATAATAATTAAATTTTATTAAATCTCTTTTATTAAAATAAATATAAAAGGTAAAGTTGAATTATTTATTTATTTATCTATCAGTCTATTATAATTTTTAGTGATTACAATTCATTATTTGCATTCGTCGGTAAAACAATTAAAACTAGCAAAACCATTTCCATCAGGTTACTAAATATCCCATGGACCATAATACTCATCTTCTTTTTCTAGTTTCTTTTTATTAAGAATTTATGAATGGTTTTATTCTGCCGCTTCACTTTTGTTTTTTTAATGAAATACACTATTCGTACTATGTCTTTATAGTTTTGAAAAATTATGGTGATTTTTCTGATTAATATTTTACAAATTCTATTTTAGGTGTGTAAAATATTGCTTTTTATAACTTGTTTTATCAAAATTTAACACATTTTTGTGAATATTTTTAATTTTTTCCATCAGTTCTGATTTGTTAAAAGTTGAATGATCCATTTTAGAATCTTCATTTTGCATGTTGTTTTTAGAACTTTCATCTAATTAGCTGCTTCGTGATGAATTCATACCTTAAGTGTTGATAATTTAAGACATTCTTTGTATTGATATTTGCTAATTAAAAGAATTTAATTAGCTTTATTAACTTGTCTATCCACTTTGTATTAAATTATTGGTTGATTAATTTTTTACTATCGTTGTGCTTTAATTTGCCAAAAATTTCTCTGAAAAATTCCTCTTTAAAGCAACTTCATTTGCTATGCAATTTTGATCTGCTTATTATGATTAGGATTTACTTTACTAAAATTTTTAATAGTTTTTAAGATTAATTATTTAGCTTAGTTTTTTTAATTTAAAATATTTGTTGATGTTTTAATCACTATTCAAAGTTTAATCAATATTTTTCTTTGCCTCTGCATAGTGAGGTGTATTCTTTTCAAGTAGTTACTGCCTTTTTTCTAGAGCTTCTTTCATAATCTCCAAGCAATTCTTTGATTAAGTTTTAAAGTTATAAGATCCTCTTTAAGTAGAATTGTGACTGCTTTATTAATAACTATTTCCTTAGCTATAAAGTATGCTTGTTTGCATGTTTTTTTAAGAAAAGTTTCTCTTCATTCCTTGCTGAAGAAAAAATTATTAAGATTCAATAGCGGAGTTTGATATCCTTTAGGATTTAAGCTAAAGCGAATTCTAATTATATTTTTAATACTAATTCTATGGCTCAATCCTATTTGTGATTATTTTTATTACTTTTTTCCCCTTTTAATCCTATTAAATCCTTTGCTTTTCCTGCTGTTCATTGATTTGACTGAGACTTGCTTACTATTTTGCTGCTTCCTATTCAGTTAGCTTACGTTAAATAAAGCTTTTTTTTAGTGATTCTAGTAAATTATTTTATTGAGTGTTAAGTTAATTATCTTGCTACTCTTGACTTCATAGCTATTATGTTTTAATTGGAATTTTTCCCGTTTGTTATAATGCAGCTTGCTAAATTTAACTTTGAGATGAAGTAATATTGTTTTAATGCATAACATCAGATGGAAAACGCTTACTTGTTTTTTATATATTTAGTATGCTTTCTTATTCTCTCAAAAGGTATTATTGCAGATTCTAAGAATTTATTTATATTTTATCTTCATACCTCACAAATTTTTCATCTGTATTACTTGGAATTTGCACTCTCTAAACCTAATTTTCCTCATTTTGCTTTAAATTATTGTTATTGAAGGAAAAGTTTCTGCGAATAACATTAGCATTTTACTTAGATGGAGTTAAGCACGATTAATTCATATTGCTTGAGTTTACTAAAGATTTCTAATTGTCGATTTTAAAATTCTCTAAGAAGTTATTGCTCTTCTTAATTAGGCTTCTAATTATATTTTATTTGCTTTTACTGCTTATGTCTTTCATATTTGGCTTGTTAATTAAATAAACAATTAATTTAGTTCTACTTATTTTTCTTCTATAATACTAAATGTTCTTTTTTTTCTAAAAATTGAATCATAATTACATTATCTATTTATTTTTAAAACGCAATTCATATCACATACATAATTACATACATGCACATACAACAAATATAGTTTTATTTTAGAAAATATCTGCCATCCTATAAAACAACCTTAATACCTTCCTTAGAAGGAATATATTAAAAATTAGGTATATTCTTTCGTTTATTAATCTATTAAATTTACTTATTTGTATAAAAATATAATACAAAATTGATTAAATTATTTATTAGGAAGCTAAATATTCAATTTTGCTGTTTTAAATAAAGTACAATCAAATATTTATAAATACTGTAAGTAGTCTTATTAATAAGTCTAAAATGACTTTTATGGATGAACTTTAATTTTATTAATATATTTTTTATTGCAGTAGTTAAAACTAAGATTTTAGAAATGGCTTGACTACAGTGCTTTGATACACTATATATAATAGTTAAAAAAGATATTATAAATGCAAAATAAAATGATATTATATTATAACCTTTAAAAAATAAATAAGTGATTAAGAAAATAAATAAAAATATTTGAATTATTTATAAAATAAATTTTTTAATTTTAAACAAAATATTTAATCAATCCAAATACAAATCAAAGTGAGAATATTAAGACTAAAAGGTTAAATTTTCTTATATGTATTTTTTATATGCTTAAATCTAAAGATGCTCTCTAAAGGTATCCAATTTATATTAGAAAAGACCTTTTATATTGTTATCAGCTATGTCTTTTGTTATTTATTCAATTTTTAAAATAAACTTTTCTTGCTATTTATTGATAATTTCTATTACCTTTTTGAGAGCTACAAGCTTTTTGTTTATTATATAATTTATATTTTAAATTTCATTGCTGTAATTATAATAGGAACTTTATTTGTTAAATGCATTAAAAAATTCCTCCAGAGAATTGGAGTATTTGCCTAACCTAAAGTAACAGAAAGCTATATTGGAATTGCACATTATTGAGACATATTGATAATTTTATTTTTGCTATGATAATCTATATTATACTATAGCCTCTTCATATCTTTCGAATACTTCATAGCAATCACCTAACTTACTATAATAATAACCATCTTCAGGACTAATCTCAATACATTTATTTAAATTTGTTATTGCAGTGTCAGCATCGTCACTATCTATTGCAATTTGAGCTAGTGTATCATAATTTTCTAAAATTTCTGGATCAATACTAATTCCTTCATTAAGAATTTTTATGGCTTCATCTATTTAGTCATTCAAATATAAAAACCTACCATATTTATGGCAAGACTAAGCTGATCTTGGCTAAATATCATAAGACCTTTTGTAATATTCTTACTCTTTTTATGGGTTTCCATTTTCACTATAATAATTGGCCAAATTATGTAGGATAACATGATTATTTGGGCAATTCTACTCAGCCTCCTTATATAATTACTCAACTTTTTCATTAAGCCCTTTTTAATTAAATATTATAGCAAGGTTATTTGCGATTCCTGGAAACTTTGGGTTTAGATTGTACAAAAGCTAACCCCATTTCTCTGCTTCGTCAATTTTTTGTTTGTTATAATAAATCCATGTCAAAAAACTCATAATATCTTGCTTATAATCATCTAATAATTCATGAGCTTTTTCTAAGTCTGCTATACATTACAAATTTCCTTCTTCTCTATTGGTTTTAAAATACTAATATGTTCCTTTTCCTAAAAGATAAATTCCTAATTCATAGGATTCATTATTTTCGTTTTGCTCTCTATAAGCTTCATAAATTTTCAAAAGAGTTTGATTGATCATCTCTGTTTGTACTACATTTATGTAAAATATCTAAATTAAGCACAATACAGTTGTTAAAACATCAATACTATCTACTTTATCTCCCTTAATCTTTTCCCTTTCTTCAATCATTTTTTGAAAACATTAGTTAGCTTATTTAAACTATGAAAGTTCAAATAAGCTTAAAGTTTTATACAATTAAAGAGTTTAATGGCAAAGCAAACTTCTATCTTAATCATGCTAATCTACTACATCTATGCACTTTTACACTTCATAGTTTAAGTAATTTAACTTTACTTACTTCATCAAATCGATTTCAAAACTGTTCATTTCGATCTATCTATCTATTTTTAACTATCTATTGTTAATAAATATCTTATTTTATAAAAATAATCTTGTTTTTTCTATATTATTTATAAAAAGTAAATGAATTCATCTAATATTTAGATCAGAATTTTAAAATGTAATTTAATTTTTGTGTTATTAACATATTTCAAAAACAATTATCTAGAATTCAACATATATCACTATTTAATTAAATGTGTTTCTGATAGACATCTATCTTTTTATCAAATAAATTTTTGAAAATTAACAGAAAGATATTCTAGGAAATATTAAAAAAATTATTAAATATTTGCATAAAACACTGGTAACTTTGAGAACAATTATCAAATAAACTAAAGTAATACAAATAGTTTTAATATTTATAGTACTTCCATAAATTAGATTAAATTAATAAATAATAATTTGTTAAATTTAGGATTTAAAGCCTTTTTCATTATGTTTAAAATATAATTTATAATTTTTAAATGATATTATTTATTTTTAATAATAATTTTATGATTATAAGTATTAATTTTTTGATTTTACTTTTATTGACAAATTAAAATAGTAAAAATAAATTATTTAATTTTCTGAAGAATATAAAAAATCAATTTTAATTTTTTATTTTCCTTATTATACAAAAAAATTTGTATATAATACTCTATATTAAATCAAAGAGATTTTTAATTAATATATTTAAAATATTTTATTATATATTTTCATAAAATTTGATAATAAAATTGAGATTAATTTCAATCTAAATATAAATCTATATGAGAATACTATGATTAAAATGTTATATTTTATTGAATATGTTTTTGATATGCTTTAATCTAAATACACTCTTTAAAAATATCTAATTTATATTAAAAAAGATCCTTTAGGTTTTTATCTTAAATGCCTTCTTTAATTTATTAAAACTTAATGACACATTTATCTTCCTATTTATTTATTAAATTAATTGCATCTTTTAATGATATATAATCATTTATTAGAGTGTATATATTATAAATGATAGGTAAATAATCATATTTTGAGCTGGCTATTTTGAAAGTGTTAAAATATTCTTCAATACTTTTTAAGTAACTATGTTAAATATAATAAGAATGTGCTATTTCTGCTTAACAGTCTACTTTTACTTTTTTGTATGTTTATTTTTAAATGGACATATTATACTAATCTATAGCTTCATTATATCTTTGGCACTATTTAAGGCACTCGGCTAATTTATAATAGCAATATCCTTCGTCTGGACTTATTTCTACACATTTCTACAAATAATTGATTGCATTACCAAAATCATTATCATCAATTGCTATATTTGCAAGTTGCTAATAATTTCCTAAAACTTCTGAATCGATACTGATGCCTTCGTTGAACATTTTTACAGCTTCTTCTTTTTTATTGTGCTTGTAATTAAATATGCCATATCTGAGACAAGAAAAAGCTGATCTAGGTTATATTTCATAGGCTCTTTTGCAATATTCTTCTTCTTTTTAAGTATCTCCCATATCTCTATAAACATTAGCCAAATTACGAAGAACTACATGATTATTAGGGCAGGATAACTCCTCTTCTGAATAAAGTTTTACTGCTTCTTCAAACTATTTCTTATCCACATACAAAGATGCTAGATTATTTGCAATCCCTGGATACTTAGGATTTAGGTTATATAATAATTAACCCCATTTTTCTGATTCACTTATATTTCCTTTGATATGATGCATCTACTGCAAACTGCTAAGAATGTCTTGCTTATAATCATCTAACAAGATATATGCCTTTTCCATATCAGCTAAAAAAGAAATATTATCTTCATCTCTAAACGTATTTAAGAATTAGTAAATTCCTTTACCAAATAGATAAACACCTGCTTCATATGAATCCTTATTTTCGTTTTACTCCTTATATTGCTCGCAAACTTTCAAAAGCTATTTGTTGGCTTTTTCGCATTTTCCACTATTAAAACAAAACAGCTAATTTAAATATAAAATGATTGTTATAACGTCTATAGAATCTATTTTATCTCCTTTTTCCTTTTGCCTTTCTTCAATCATTTCTTCAAAATTTTAAATAGCTTGTTTAAAGTAGCTTAGTTCAAATAAGCTTAGCATCTTATATAACTAAAGATTTTAATGGCAAATAAAACTTCTGTTTTTGTCAAACTATTCTACTTTACTTAAGCAATCAGCAATTTAGTTGTTAAAAAAATATTATTTGATTTCCTTGACTAAACTTGTTTCTAAACTATTCATTTTTAAACAATAAGGATTTTATCAATTTCTTTTGCTTAATAATAATTAAACTTCTTAAAAAAAACAAAAAAAATTATGAATTTTTTAATTAATTATATTTGATAGATATTAATCCTATTTTAATACATAAATTGATCAAAGATTTTTTTGTAAATATATTTGTAAAATTCATCAAGTAATTAGAATATTTTTGTTTCATTTTTATATGAACATTTAGAATTTATTCTATTATCTCTATTTTTACTAAAACATGAATACAAAATATTTCATTTATCTAGATTTTATTTATTTATTTCAAAATTATCTTCTTTTGTATGTCCTTCTCTTAAAATATCAAATTTTTCTATCTCATTAATTAAGGTAGCCCTCCACCCCTATTTTTCTCTTAAATTAAAATATTTGGAGAAGAAAAATTTTTATAATAAACCTATAGAACCTAAAACGTTTTATTTATAAATTATCTCCTTATATCTATATAAATACATAATAAAACAAATAAAAATATATATAAACAAAATAAAATTTAATTTTAATTTTAAGATGTATTCTGAGTGCATTTATATGTGCGAGTATTTCTATTCTATTCTGCACCAATTAAATTCCTACTTTTTAAATATTGAAGAAAAATATATCATTAAATAGTTAATTAGAAGGAAAAAATGAAGAAAAAATATTAAATAATAAGATTAATTAATTAATAATAAAAGCAAAAATTGAAAATAAAATTATGATTTAAAGTAACAAATGTACAACAAAAAAAAGCAAGCACAATAAAAAGAAAAAAGAGCTTTATTGTTTTAAATTAGTTTTTATAATTAAAAATATCACTATCCAAAACAAATAAACTGTTTTTACCGAAGTTCAAGTTTCAAATTTAAGAGATTAATGCACTTTGCTAAAGCAAAACCTAAACCTGATGCACCCATTGCACCAATTTAATTTTTACTTTTTAAATATTGAAGAAGAAATATATCATTAAATAGTTAATTAGAAGGAAAAAATGAAATAATAAGATTAATTAATAATTAGTAAAATTAATTAACCAAAAATGAAAAAAAAAAAAGATATCACAATAAAAAGAAAAGGAAAATAAATCAAATAAATTAAAAGAGCTTTAATGTTTTAAATTAACTTTTATTATTAAAATATTACAATCCAAAACAAATATACTGCATTTATTAAGTTTAAGTTTTAATAGTAAAAAATAAAGAAAAAAGATCAAATAATAAAAAATGAATAATAAATAATTAAAAATAAAAATGAAAATTAAGTTAA